AGAGAGAGAGAGAGAGAGAGAGAGAGAGAGAGAGAGAGAGAGAGAGAGAGAGAGAGAGAGAGAGAGAGAGAGAGAGAGAGAGAGGCGGGCGGGGACATCGACGGCGCAGCGCGGCAGCGGGCGGAGGCTTCAACGATGCGGAGCGGCGACGAAGACCACGACGGCGCGCAGCGGGACTAAATTTTGAACGCGCGTTCAATTCTATGAACGCGCGTTCAAAGAATTGAACGGCGTCGGGGCTGGGGGGGGTCTGTCAGTTCAGAGCGTGGCGCCGCATTGTCGGCGCAGTGGGGGGTTCGAGGCCGTGGGGGTTGCGTGGCCGACACAACAGGGGCAGGACGGGGGTGGCCCGACGAGACCTTGTGCGGGGAGGGACGCCGGCGGGAGTTGGACCTTCGTGGGGGTGGGTGAGGGCGGAGCGCTTCGGTGAACCCATCAGCGAGCGGGCACGATGCCGCGAGGTCAGGCTCGCGTGTTTGAGGATGGGGGGGAGGACGAGAATCGGAAGGCGCAGAAGAGATGTTGCGTGTACAAGTACATCCGCGTGGGACAGAGTCTCGGCGAGAGATTCCGTGGCAATCGCATGTTGAAGTGCGTTTTCTGCGGCCACGAGTTCCAGGGCAACCAGTTCGTGGCGGCACACTATTTCCGCTAGGGCAAGGGATGTCCGGAAGTGACCGACGAGGCACTTGTCGACATCCACTACAACAGTGAGTACAAGATGTCCGACAAGTTCCTACAGCGGATCCAGCAGTTTGAGGAGCTTCACGGTCCGGCGCCTGCGATGGATCCGCGACGGGACGAGGGGGGGGAGGGAGAGATGAGGGACGCGGAGGAGCCGATCGACGCGCACGACGACGTTGAGGAGGTTGCGCGGGCGGGGTCGTCAGGGAGGGAGCGAGGGAAGGGCGTTGTCAGCGAGCCGGGGGGGTAGCAGGGCCAGTACTTTGCGTCGGCGCACGTGTTGGTTCGTACACGGGCAGGTGCGGGTACAACTGAGGCGGGTCCGTTTGCGGGAAAGAGGAAGGAGAGAGAGGAGGGGGCGCAACCGACGGCAGCAGCCGCAACATAGAAAAGGCTGAGGCAGAACACGATCACGGAGTCATTCTCTTCAAAGTGGCAGATGGAGTTCAAGAAGAGGTGGCTGCGGTTTGTGTACAGTCAGCGCCTGGCGTTCAACATCTTCCGGAGCGAGCCGTGGTTGGACGTCGTCCGACACTTCAGGGATTTGTACGGGCCAGTGAAGGTGTTGTGGCCTTTAGAGAACGAGATTGCAGACATAGAGACCATTGTCCACACGGCAGACGATGTGGGAGCTGACCTCGCGGAGCTCAGGGCTCCTTTCTATGTCACGGGGGCCACCATTATGCCAGACGGAAGGAAGTCACGCGATGCTAGACCCATCGTTAACTTCCTTGCCGGCGGGTCGCGTGGGGTGATGCTCGTCAGGACGATGAACAGGGAGGGTGAGCAGGATCGGGCGCCTGATGTGTTGGCGCGATGGATCAAGGTGTTCGATGACTTTCCCCCTAAGTGGGTGAATGCCATTTGCACCGACTCCGCCTCGGCGTACGTCGCCACGGCGAACATGCTCCATGCGCCCCAGTAGAGGCCAGAGCATCGACGGATCACGTGGCTCCCATGGGCAGTGCATGTCTGCAACAAGATGTTGTCAGACATTGGCTGTTTGGGCCCGTGGTCTAAGGACATCATCGTGAGGGGGAGAGCGGTGGTGCGCTTCATTAAGGAGCACAACGCCGCTCTCCATATTTTTCCGGGGGGAGAGCAGTCAGATAGGCCTCATCTATCCTTGCGAGACACGTTTCGCATCCGTGTTCACGATGGTGGAGCGTTTGCTGGCAGTGAGGTCAGCTTTGGAGAGGATGGTGGATGGCGATACTTGGGGTATGGTCCGTTGGGACCATTCCGTTCGTCATTTGGCTAGATGGGTCAGGTGGCAGGTGCGACATGGCAGTTGGTGGGATTTCATGGGCATCTTGTTCCGTATCATGGAGCCTGTGTACGACCTGCTACGCAGGTTGGACCGCGGAGGGCTGCACATGTCGCGGGTGGTTGAGTGGACACAGGATCTGGCTCGCCGTGTAGCAGAGGAGGTTTATGCACTTCCAACCGATCTTGCACACTACATTGTGCAGAGGGTGCAGGCTCGATGCGCTCACATGCTGGAGCCGGCGCACGCCGCTGCTCACCTTCTCTGTCCCAGCCGGCGGGACTTGCGGTACTTTGAGGGCGTGGTCAGCGACTACGACGCGAGCTTGGTGAGGGAGGCGGAGACTTACATCTTGTCGCAGACAGGGTTTAGTGTGGCGAGACGCGACTACGAGACCGCATGTGTGCAGTTGCGCAACTTCCACACACGGAGGGGGACGATTGCTTGGGGGGGGAGAGACGGAGAGAGAGATGCACAGAGGTGCACGGGCGATGCGGAGACGTACGAGTCCGGGTGTTGGTGGTCGAGGTACGGGCATTGCGCCCCGCAGTTGCAGGTTATCGCTCTTCGTGTGATGTACATGTGGACGTGCTCCTCTCCTGCGGAGAGGAATTGGGTCGTCCACGAGGGTGTACAGACGAAGAAGCGTAACCGGCTTGAGTTCGAGAAGGTCGCGAAGTTGGTTGAGATCTCAGCCAACGTTCGCCTTCTCTCTCATCAGCGGGCAGGCCGCGGGTTTGCGCTGCCGTGGACTCTAGATGAGTCATTGTTGGACGTGGAGGGAGGTATCGGGATTCGCCCCTCGTGGAAGGGGACGGACGAGAGCAGGACGCGGGAGGAGCTCGAGGATCAGAGACGTTCATGGCAGCGAGACCCATGTGGGTCCAGAGCTCCTCCGGGTTATGTGGGCGATGTTTTTGGGACTCGAGCCGCCACATTGCACCCGTACCCTCGAGACAACAGTGATTCCGAGGGTGACGAGGACGAGGACGAGCCGGCGGGCCCCGCTACCGCCACTCCTGCGGCGGATGAGCGTGATGAGTGGAGCGACCCAGAGGACGTCCGTAGACGGAGTGGCAGAGATGACCTGTTCGTTCCAGTTGATTTGGAGGAGGAGTCTGGGGGTCGTCATGGGAGCCCTGTAGAGCGTCCGAGGCCGACGTCCACTAGCCCGCTTCCCGCTGAGCGGAAGAGAGATCCTGGGTCTGCACCTTCGAGGGGGGCAGAGTCGGGGATTGGCCATCGTCCTCTGGGTCGCTCTGGCATGGCATCATCCACCGCTCTTCCCACTTCGACGGAGGAGCTTCATCGACAGCCAGCCAGTGCAGATCGATTGTAGAGATTGGTGAGGGGCCTGAGACAACGATTGGAGGACAGATTAGAGGGCAGTCCTTCACCGGTGCAGGGGGACGACGGAGATAGACAGGGGTTGGTTGGTGGAGATGGTGGTGCGTTGGCCGGAGGTGGAGGCGGTGCCGAGGTTGCTGCGGCGTTTGAGGGGATACCGATGGGTGGCGGAGGCGGTTTCGGTGAGTTTGGTGACATGGGTATGCCCCCGGGAGGGAGCGTGGGTCCGGCCCAAGGAGAGAGCGAGTCCCGTGGGGACATCAGTGTGGGTATGCAGGACTTACTGGGACAGATCAGCTTCGCGGACCCGAGTAGTTTCTCCCCTGCCATGCGCGCAGAGGTGATGTTGGGGGCAGAGGGGGATGAGGACCGGACATCCCCTGGAGAGACATCTGAGGAGAGGTTGGATAGGTTTGATAGTCGTCGAGCTGCCCTCATGGAGAGACATCCCAGGATGCAGGAGCTCGCCCGTCTTGCGGTCGAGGACCGACGGAGGCAGCTGGGGACATTTACGCCGGCGTCCGTTGACGTAGGGCCAGCTGCCCACACGGATCCTCCGGTAGAGGTTCACGACACCACGCAGCGGGAGGCGGCTTCAGCGGAGGTATCAAGTACGGGAGTAGATGTTCAACAGGGGACGCACGAGAGCGGGTTGGCACTGACAGAGGAGCCACGTTCAGAGCCGGCGCAGCCTCCTCCTTGTCCAACTGAGGCCCGAGGATACATTGCACGAGGTCGCGCGTGCCTCTGCCCGCGAGTTTAGTTGAGGGTGCCGTGCAGATGTCCCCAGGTCTGGAGGACATACAGACGGGGCAGTAAGGGGGCGTTGATGATATTCGCCCATCGACACAGGCGGAGGGGATACCGCCGACCACTGGGGGGGACGGGGCCGTAGCGGGGGCCGTTGGTGTTGGCGGGTCGGGGGKGCCTTCCGCGGCCGATCCGATGTCCACGTCTGGCGGGGGGGACCCCGCACAGGTGGACAGGCGTGACGCTGACGGATAGGAGATGCCACAGACTTTGGTGGTTCGCACTGCTGTGGGGCCATTGGTGCCGCATCAGGCACCGTTTTTGGAGGGTTATAGGCGTCGTGCACATGGCGGGGGCCCGGTTGAGGAACGACGTGTAGGCAGGGGCGCGTGCATACCCCCGGTCCCTACTTTTGCACCATCACGGACGAGGCTGGAGATTAGGCATGTGGCTACGCCTCGGGGCAGCCTCCCTTTTGGTTTTATGATCGCTGAGGAGTTGGAGGACCACGGCAGGAGGGATTTGACGGAGATCGACCAGCGCGTTTTGAGGTCAGTCCCGGAGGAGGGGAAGCTGCCTCACGTGCATGACTTATGTTGCGGGCCAGCCAGCCCCAGCTTACCTTCTGGGTGTTCCATCGCAGCGCCATCTGGCGGGGCTGCAGGGGGCTTACCTTCTGGAGGTTCCGTCGCAGCGGCATCTGGCGGGGCCGCAGGGGACTTACCTTCTAGAGGTTCGGTCGCAGCGCCATCTGGAGGCGCCGCAGGCCCTTCGTCACCCTTGATCGCTGCTCCGAGGGAGGACGGCAGTCTCACCCCGAGGTCGGTTGCCCGTAGACGGAGAGACACTACCCAGCGTGCGCGGGAGTTGCTGGACACCATGTTGTTTGATCACACAGATCGACCATGGAGCGAGATGAGACGGGTGACGACGGCGAGTGTCGGTCGTCAGCCAGGTTTGAGAGGGGCTTCCACGGCCGTGAGACATCGAGATGTTGTAGCTTCAGGGTTCGGTGGTAGAGGCGGTGGCGGCGATGGCCAGGGCGACGACATACGTGAGGGTGCAGGCGGTGCCGTAGCGAGCGTCGTGGATCCGCCCTTGACATACGGTTTGAGAGAGGCGTCGATTATTTTGCAGGAGCCTGACGTTGTTACACGACCGAGGCAGGAGAGACACGTGCCCTTAGATCGACGCCAGGAGGGGGAGACTTCAGGGACAGACGGTCTATCTATGGCACGCGAGTCACGCCGACGTGATGACCTAGCAGCCGCAGGTGTAGGCAGGACGTTGAGAGGCAGGAGACTCATTATGGACGACGACCCCGACGAGTGTCCCGTCGCTCCCGAGCCTTCCGCTGGCAGACGCGGCGGCCAATGTCAGAGAGATTGAGGGCGTGGCAGTGGTCGGAGGGGAGGTGGCGGTTCTCATCGGTCCGAGCGAGATCCGCGTGCGCGCGACGATCGTTGACGGATCACGGACTTGCGTTTTCGTGACATTCTGAGTGTACTTTAGTTTTTTGTTATCCATGAAAGACGTAGTGTCTAGTGAGGTTGTATTATAGTCTACTTTCCAATGGGTACTTTTCTGCGCAGACATAGTGTTTCGTGATGTTGTATTCTAGTCTACTTTCGTAGGAGTACATGGCCATTTCGTTCGAGTTTAGTTTTTTGTTATCCATGACAGACGTAGTGTTTTGTGATGTTGTATTATAGTGTACTTTCCAGTAAGCACTTTTCTGCGCACTTTGCTACTTCGGAGATTATAACTTTCTTGTGTATTTTAGTGTACTTTTCGTCGGCATTTTTGGGTTGGTACTTCTTTCGACATACTGGAGGGGCTTCGACACGATGTGTCAGATTTTTGCTATTATCCATGCTATAGTGGTTTGCGTTTTGCTTCGATCATTATATCTTGTCATTTGCGATGTTTCTGTTTTCAGACGACGAGTGTTTTGTGTGCTTTGAGTCCGCCCTTGGTTTCTTTGAAATCTCACTTCCCCCGAAGTGCTTCCAGGCCCCTCATAACCCAAACCATACCTTAGCCCCCCCTGGCCCCCC